TTGTTTATTTCATTCCTTATCATGGCATTAATTTCAAGTTTTTATGCATACTGACACAAATGCAAGTCAAAATACTATATAAGGTGGGATATGGAGAGAGAGGACCCCATTGTATGTTTACACAAGTTCCAGGACATGGGCATTTCTTTTCAGCTTTTGGAATGGTACAGAGGAACTAGTAATGACTTTCTGGAGCACATGATCACAGGTGATGAGACTTGAATGCATCTTGTAATCCCAGTGACAGAAATTGATTCCATAAACTTCAAGTATTTATAGTCAACAACCCCCTCAGCAAAATTCAAAGTTCAGCAGTCAACAAAGAAATTGATGACAGCTGTGTTTTGAAATATAAAACGCATGTTGCTCATCAGACATTTAACACTGTAAAATATTGAACAGACTGAAGGTAGTTGTTTATCAAAAGAGACCAAAACATTTACAAAACAATACCCTCCCAATCAACAAACTGGCAACCTAACAAATGAATGGCTCCTGTCATATGGTTGGGAAGTTTTACTGAATAGTCCGAGATTGGAGCCTCCAGATTATCATATATTTGGGGTCCTCAAATGACAGTTATCTGGGAAGCAGTTCCACACAGATAACACTGTTGTTACAGAGGAGCATATTTTATGGCATAGTTAAAACTCCAGGTATGACAAGTTTTGTCAGTATTAGAGTTTAATAATAGAAAGCTGGGAAAGGATGTAATGCATGTTCACAAGGTAACAAAATGAAAGACAAATGACACATCAAGAAATAAGAACACAAACCGTTTCCCATATTAAATATGTAGATGTTTTATTCAGGGCTTCACCTGCTCATCTGGGTGGGTAGAGAGATGATATTTGGGACAACTTCTGCTATGTTAGTTCTCCACCACCACCACCAACAACTCCTTGCCTATCTACTCATCCCTATCTGGCATATGAAATGGAGGCTTTGGAACCAAGTAGTGGACCCATGTGTCTCCCGCCAAGGACAAACCAAAACTTTCTCCAATCCCAAGCATGACTGTTAATATAGACTGGTACCTGCATATGCTCTACTCCCAGTTTTGTTGCCACTTGATTCCCGAAAATTGTACATGCACTCCTTTACTTCCTGTTACCCTTTGGTTAAAGCAGATGCTGCTTAGAAGACCAAACTTCTAAAAGGAACCATCTGCTAGTCTATCAAAAGGAAACACTTGAGATCAAAATAAAACTACCTCTTATTAGTTTTTGAGATGATAGAATGTTTTCATGGGAATTGATTTTAAGCTGCATTATAGAATAACAGAGAAATATCATTTTGCTAAAAGCAATGGTGTTGATAGTTCAATCCCTGCTTATGAATAACTTTGCTATTTTCACATAAAATAACATAGACCTATATAAATATATGTTCTTAATTAAGGTTTGTTTATAACTTACTTCAGCTTATAGAAATGGTGATATGGTGAGGTCTTTGAATACATTGCTGTGAGGTAAAGGAAGTCAATATTATATGACTTGTTTCTACGTATAACACTGATGACTTGGCTGATGTCACTTAAACCTACAAAAAACAATAAAATAAAATTCAAGTGAATCATCTGAATTAAATGTGGACTAAAATTGATTGAAAATAAATTAAAGCCCACAGAAATAAAAAAGTAATGGTTTGGCAGGGCCAAATTTTCATAAAAAGAAGAAATAATTATTAATCCATGAAAAAGAAAGAGAAGGAAATCTGAAAAGAAAATTGAAGAGGAAAAAAAAAAAGAAAAGGAGAAAAAGTAAGAGAATAGGGAAAAAAAGTTAATTGGTTTCTGAAAGAAAAGAGGAAAATTTCAAAGTATAATAATATTGCAATAAGAGTGAGGAATTAAATGTTCAATACAAAGTTATCAGCAAAATGTTAATCAAGTAAAATAAAGACAGACATTTTAAAGGAATCAATTGAAATCAACAGCTTATAAATCATATCAATACTTACCAATAAGAGAAAAATCTTTTTGGTTTTTTTCTAAGCTTTTGGGAGACTTTCTAGATTTACGTTTATCCAGTTGAAAATGCATTTTTTTTGGTACTGATTCCTGGAGAGAAGAAAAAAAAATGGTTGATTTCTAGTACAGGGTACACTGATTATGAAACAAGTATTTAAGATAAAGGATAAAATTGGAATAAATGTCTATTAAAGGTTTTTTTTAATGTTGTGTCCATTTTGGACATAAACAATCATGACCCTTCAGATGCCTTTTCTTAATTATCTGTGAATTGCCATGACTTCTTAGGAAAGATTGTAGAGTGGTTTTTCATTGACTTCTCCACAGCTTGGAATTCAGTTTTCTCTTGTTGCCATTCAAGAATGAAGAGCCCAGCCTACTCTACTATTTAAATTTTGTGTGAGAAGAGATGAGTCATATCTTTCCCAAAGGCATCTTTATTTTAAAAGTGAATGCAAACAACTAAGCTGGAATTTGATCACCAGTTCCACTTTCCATACCAATTGTGACACCATGGGTCCAGAGAAGGAAGATATGATTGCATCTCAATCTCAAGTTTTTCTGCTTTAAAGCTAACAATTGGATTATTTGAAAATTTCTCAGGAGTATTCACTTTGATAGAAGGGGAATGGAAGTGTAAAGGCATGAACAGGGTTTTTTTGGAGACCAAGTAACAAGAAAATCAGAAATAGTGTAAATCCAGATACAGGTTTATACTAACAGTCATGCTTATGATTGGAGGGTCAGTTCTGGTCCACTCTTGCCAGCAGATGGTTGTGATCATCATGTGGTTCCGAAGCCACTTAATCATACTGTCAACCAAACATCAGAATGTGTAGACTGGCACAGAGTGGTAATAGGAAAAGCTGATCTATGAGATCAAGATAGCAGAAGTCCCAAGTGTCACTTATCTGTCTTCCAAGTTGAAACCCTGAATAAAATATCTAAATATAATGTTAGAAACAGGGTTCATGTTCTCATTTCTTGACATGGCATTTGTCTTTCATCTTGTTATCTTGTGAACATGCAGCAGGCTCTTTCCCAGCTTTCAGAGCACACTGATGTGAACAAGAATAGAACACAATATGGGGGGGAAATCATTGGCCAGTCAGGATAAAGCTTGGGTGAGGGTTGCATTGTATATTTACAACTGGAGCAATGACTAAAAAAAGTGATGTAGAAATGGATGCAAAATACAGGAATTTGCAGAAAACACATGCAAGAGGAAAAATCAAAAAAGTAATGGATGCATTAGAAAAATAGATGGGGGATAAAAAAAAGTGTGTGTGTGTGTGTGTGGTAGTAGGAGAATTGTAGCAGCATAATTGATTTGAGCTTGAACTTGCATTGATGTCTGACAGGAGTTCATTAAAAGAGTATTTCCGCTAAGTTTATGCCAATATCTTTGTGCTAAGATTTGGAGTAGAAGGAGAAAGAAGGGGCAAAAGAGAAAAGAAAAAAAAATGTGGAAAGTTTTCACTAGTGTTGCAAAAGTTTAAAAAGAATTTTTTTTTTTTTTTTTTTTATTTGGGAACATTTCTCTATTTACTTTTGTTTATTGAAAAAAAAAATCTAAATTTTTTTGTACAAGCAAAGTGCACATAAATATGGTTAGGATAGATTTAAGAATATTTTATTATTGTGAAATTGTCAAAATGGATTAATAGATTTTATGGTTTCCTTCCTTGTTGCTTTACTGACGGCTGGGTGGTCAGCTTTGTGATCTGAATTGTATTATTTTAAATGGACAAGCATTTGTTGGGAGGAATATTTTGTTTAAATGATGAAGGAATCGAGAGTTTTGCTGTTAAGAAGCTCCATTCAGACTGTGTATGTGCAGTTGCTTGTACTTTTGTATATTTTAATTCAATGATAGATCTGAAGGTGTTCTACAGAATTACACACAAAACAAAATGGAACTTGTGAAAAAAAATTTTTTAACTTAGAGTTTGAGAAGTTCACTGAAATATTATAATTATCTGGTTCTTTTAGGGTTTTAAATTTAACGTCTTGTCTCCATGGAAAAAAATTAGTTGTAACACTATTTTATCATTCCACTTGTGCCATTTTTATCTGAATTCATTTTTTGTGGCCATTAAATTTATTTTAAATTTTTACCTAAATTCACTTTATCGTCATAATAAATAGATGATTGACTTTGTGGTCATCGCAACACTGTCAGTTTCTTGGTATCAATGAACAGAGATGAATAAAATGATATTGAAGTGTGATGGATATGAATAGATTGAAATAGATATCAATAGACTTATCAATAAATGGAAACAAAGCGAGATATTTATCGATATGAAGCTGGGGTTCCCTTACTGTCAGTGAGAAAAGGCTGATGTTTATTTCTTATTTTTATTTTCACAACCCCCCCACACACACACACACATACAGCTAAGAGGAATAAGACAGTTCCTCCTTGTTTTATGATTTTATTATTTACCTGAAGCAGCAATGAAATGATAGAAGGAGGTCCATCAAGTTGTGTGTGCCTATGGGTATGTTAAATGGTAAAAATATATGCAAATCTCTCATGCACAATGCAGATATGTTGTGTGCATACACATTACATAAATGAGCACACATGAAGGGCGGGATAGAGAATCACCTCTCTATGATTATTAAAACAGTTGGTTTTAGTTGTTAATTTTTGGTGTTTAGTTGTTATCAATACAGGCTTACAAAAAATTATATATGTAATTTAAAAACATTTTAATTAATGTAAATGTTTTCTTTGAAGTTAAATTTTGGGATTTGAAAGCTAATAGTGAAAAGCTATTTATTGATTGATTTGTTTTCTACATCTTAACTCTTCGAAGGATATTTAAAGCCAGAAAATATTTTTAGATTGTCAGAATTTTTTTTTAGATAATGATTTAGTGATACAAGTTTTATTAATTAACTCATAGATAAAGGGATAAGAGGTGAATTCATACCTTTCACATAAGTGAATATAACAAACCAAACTGGAATTGAACTCAGCTCTCCAATTTCCAATTCCAAACTTATCATTACATCAAAGCTTACAGCATGTGGTATTCCAAAGTGGTCACCCATTTATGTACTGACCAGGCTCAACATTGCTTAACTTTGGAGATCATACAGGAACTGGTGTTTCAACATGACGGGGCCTGTAAGCCCCACCCATTACCTGAAGCTAATTCAAAAATAATAATTTTATGTAGTGAAGTTAGGTTTTGAGACATTCTTTAAACCTTGGCATTGGACAGTACAAGTCAAAGGTTATTTTGGTTGGGAAAGGTGATGTTTGTGTTTTGCCAGTGAGCAAAGATGACACAGATTTATGTCGACAGCTCTGGACTGAATTGTTTCTGTTATGGTGGCCCATAATGGAAATCAGTATTTCCATCTTTTGTAAACTAGTTATTTTTATTAACTTTTCTGGTTTTTGATGATCAAGATTCTTTTTAAGCTGAGCTATCATTACTTTTAAGCTAATATTTGAACACATTATGTCAATTGAAATGTTAATAATGGTGAATGTAAGAAAAGCTTAAATTCATTTCCTGTTTTTAGGGGTCCCGTGTAGTAGAATGTTTCAAGATGGAAGTGATTGTTATGATATTTAAAGGGGTTGAATTTTCATTGTAAACGTGTTTTGGAAGTGACATATTCAAAGTGGAAAGCGAAAAAGGGAAATCTTAGAGATCTTACCCAGGTAAAGTATTTGACGAATCAGAAAGAATGTTACATGAAAGACAAGTGCAAAGTATTTCAATGGTTTGCATGCAGACATAAGAAACCAGTGGCTTATCTGATTGGTTTACTCAAAAGAAAAACTGTATTTGAATAATCTACACCTAGGTCATATTTTGAAAGTGTGTAGACCTCATTGTCATCATCATCATCTGTGGAATCTGTCACCATCAATAGTTTATTATTAGTAAAATTTAGGATTTATTCCTTGAGTTGGAAAGTGCAGTTGTCTAGGTTCCATATGTGATGGCTGTCCCTGCCTGAAAGTGTTGCCTTTCCAGTCAGTGCATCTTTGCAGTGACAATGGCATGGCTAGTGCAAGAATAGTAGAAGCTGAGGGGCCAAAGTGAGTGTCAGCACCCCAAATTAGTAATAATATCCAATCAGCAACTATAATTGGGTGAAGTAGCACTTGGGCTGTCATCAGGGACAACAGTTGTGGTCTTTTACTGTCATTCCCACTTTTGAAAAGGCATGAGTAAAGTTGAATTAAATGTGGAGTCTAACAAATCTGGGGATTGGTATTACTTGTGTTTAAATATAAATTGTTTTTTGCAATGTGTGGCTGTTGTTTATGAGGATAATGTCTTTATTTTCTAAGCTTGTATGAAACTTGATAGAAAGGGTGATTTTAATTTTGATGATACAGCAGGAATATAAAAGGAAGTTGGTTGAAAAAACAATGGGTTGATACCCGTGGGATGTGTTCATTTGGAGCCGTTTTTATTGTTTTATTGTCTAATTGATGTGATGCTTGGTTACACTTTGTAGGGTCTCACTTTTGATTTTGAGATTTCAATTAGGTTGGATACTTCCTAATTTTGATAGGGTTTTGAAAAATAGGGTGGCATTTGTTTTGCTTTCATTATACAAAAGGTGTGCATCCATTTTAGGTCCCCCCCCCCACGTGAAAGTGATGATTGAAGGTATGGTACTTATAGTTGGAAATTAAGGACAATTTCACTGAATATGTTACAGTTTGTTATTATTGGAAAACAGGGTTCATTTCATTTACCTTTTTATTTTTAAAGTAATTATAATTAAAATCAAAAGCCATAATGGTTAATGATTTGCTATTTTGTGTAAATTTATGTGGGGATAGTCCATGTCTTTTCTGCCAATTGATTGTTGGATTGTAGTGAAAGAGATAATCAGGTACCCCAGAAAAAAGTTTGTTTTGTGTGCGATCTGCCGAAGAAAAATTACCAAAAAGTAGTCAGCAAAAATCTTATAGCGAAGAAAAACGGCGACTTACCTCATCAAACCAAGCAACAGCGCGTCGTGTGTATTCTATGATGGAAAAAGTGACAAAAAAGAAACAAGTCCGTCGCAGGAGTTGCTATAAAAGTATTTTGATATGCAAATTACGTGTTCTCGATTCGGGGTGGAAAATTCAGGCATTTTTGGCTTCAGCATTTGTTAGAGAGTGAGTTATTTTTCTGACTGGTTACACGCATTTTGATTTGAGATAGTACCGGTGAATCGAGTTTTCAGCATTTCTTTCTGTCCCCGATATTCAAGTCGGTACTTACAGTGATTTTTCTTTGTGTTGTGGAAGTAATCTGCGACAAATATTTCCTTTGCTTTCAGAACACCTACATGGATGAATACAAGCTTTGATACACACTGTTGTGAAATTGGTTTGGTTGGACAGAGTGGGATGAAGGATAGTCATAGACAACCCATTACTAGGTGTGAAGGCTAACTATTGAGAAGAAGTCCTGGGCTGCCATTTGGTGGACGCTCACTATCCAACAAAAAGGCTGGTTAGTGCCCATTATTCACAAGGAGAGAATTCTGGGCCGCCAGTTTGGTGAATGCTAATTGCTAACAGAAGTTTTGGATCATTAGTTTGGTAGCTGCTCATTGTGTGTTGAAAGTTCCAGGCTACCATGTGGTAGATGCTTGTTGTCTGCTCAACTATGATCTCACATCTCTCCCTAATCTAGGAGGAAGGGTGTAATATGTCAGTCTGTACAATCATAATGAGCTGAGGTGCTTTTAAGAAGTGAGAAAAATTGGTAATAATGATTACTGGAAGATTTGTCCAGTAAAAGATGGAAATATTGTTTTTAAATAATTTTGCAAAGAATTGGTGATAATGGATTACCAGAAGTACTGAGTAGTACTGATTTGAAATGTTTTTTTGTAAAAGAATTGGTAATTTTGGAATATTACTGACCCATATATAGTGGATTTAATGTAAGATATATTTGGCAATAAGGTGGCTTATTACTGGTGAATTGAATTGTGGGGGCTCTGATGAATGAATTGACAGAGGGTCACAGGAAAGAGTTAAAATGCATATGATTTGAACCTAAATGAAGGAGAATTATGTAAAATCATATCAGTAGCAAAGATGGTCACAAAGAAAATAATAGTACATTTTTGAGCTGAGAATTTGAAGGTGTGGTGATTAGCAGATTCTTTCTTGTTTTGTTCATGTGGAAAAGTAATGAGTAGACAATACTAGAGATTGAAACAGTAATGCCAAAATAATTTCGAGGAGAAATGTTGATGAAGTTGATGTGTGAAGATTTTAGGAGATCAATGGTGATTATAGTGCCAAGTAAATTTTAGTTGAAATCATATTAATGTTGTCATTCCCAGTTTAGGAATTTCAAAGAAATAAATGTTGGAATTTTAATATAAGAATTTGATTTGAGGTAAGTATTTAAAGGAAAATAAAATGTGCAGGTTCAGAGAATGAGGGGGAAACAATTTTCATAATATCCTAAAGTGTAGAAAAAGATTAACTCAGATGTAAAATGTTATTAATTTTCATTTCAGGGACTTCGGATTAATTGTTTTTGGCTGTAATTTATAAAATAATTTATAACTGACAAGATAGCATGGAGAGGTTTGTGGCACTATGAATAACTAGGTAGAGGAGGAAGATGTCATTTTATTTCAAGTATTTGTACATTACGTTCAGTAAATGGATTACTTGAAAATTTCTAAGCAGCATCCACTTTGATCAAAGGGGGAACAGAAGAGTAAAAGGAGTAGACAGGATCTTTTGGAGACCAAGGGACAACAAAACCAGAAATAGGGTGTATCTGGGTGCCAGTCTACATTAACAGTCATGTTTAGGATTAGAAGGTCAGTTCTGGTCTACCCTTGGTGGCAGATGGACTTGACCATCACATGGTTCCAATGCCAGCTATTTGTATTTTCAGCCACACATCAGGAATGTATAGACAGGCTTGGAGTTGACAGTAAGAAGAGCTAATCAATGAGATTGGCAGTGCAGAAGTTTTCCCAAGTGTCACCTTTCCCAATAAACCCAGCCAAAGCCCTGAATAAAACATCTAAATATAATGTGGGAAACAGGGTTTGTGTTCTCATTTCTCAACATGGAATTTGTTTTTCATCCCCATTACCTTGTGAGTATGTAGCAGGCCCTTTCCCATCTTTTAGTGCACACTGACATGAACTAGAATGGAACACAATATGGGGAAAATCATTGGCTTATTGGTGGTAAGCATGAGTGAAGGTCATGTTGCATGTTTACACAATAACCATAATACTACCTGCTCATCCAAATTGAAGATTAAAGATATTTAAATGATACAAATAATTCACTGCTCATAAGTAATTTTCTTCAATAGCAATTCTTTCACTCACAATGCCTGCATTACAAGAATGAGGTTTAATTATTATCAGATCTTATTTATATTGGGTGGAAACAAAAATTTCTGTACTTACTTGATTTTGGCATCTCCAGTTCATAGTTTGTATCTTAGGCTGTTCCTCTGGCTGATAAAAAGACATTCTGTCTTCTTACAATTGATGATCAGTCCTTTCTTCCAACTTTTTTTTTTTTTACTACCTTGTTTAAGAGTTCCCAAAGTTTTTTTTTCTGTGTCTATCCCCAACACAGTTTGATCTGCATATGTTATGTTGTTAAAACTGTACCCACCAATAATAAATCTTTTTTGAATTTTTATCTCTCTTAGGATCACCTCACTGTAAGGGTTAAATAAATTCAGTGGGAGGACATATCCTTGACATACATCCTTTTCTATTTTTGCAGACTTGCTCATTTTCTGTCCATATGCAGGCTATTTGTTCCCAGTAAATAACCTGGATTGTTCTAATAGCTTTCCCAAATAAATCAAGTTTTCCATTTAGTTCAAATAGATCTTTGTGTTGAACCTTATTAAATGCTTTTGCATAGTCTATGAAATCCATCTGCATTTGTATTGATCACTCTGATATCATTCTGATCATAAATCCTACATTTCTTGTTCAAGTGTCTTTAATGAAGCCACACTGTTCTTGCCTTATTTCCAGTTTAATTCTGTTATATGCTGCATTTATCAGATCTAAGATAAGCTTAGTTAAGTGTCTCATTAAGCTAGTTATCTGATGGAGCTTGCATTCATCTGCATCTAGTTTCTA